TTGTCAATGAAAAGGTCAGTTGCAAGAAGTTTGATCTACTCTAGAACTAACATTTCATTATTTTATATTTCACAGTATCATCAATTGTTTTGTTCTAATTTATGCCAAGCTTTACTTTCCTGGGTTTTTTTCTTCTAAACCTATTCCAGCTGTTTTTTATTAAATATCTCTTTGCTGTTGTTTAATCCTTAAAATATGAGACTGATATTTCAATAAAAACCTTCATGAGACCTACTGTACCTTTTTAGCATCATTCTCTAAGGCTGTGTCTATACTGGTAAAATTAGGACCCATAAGTGCAGCTCCATCTGTCATGGAAGCTGTAGTGTAGAGAGGGCTCATGCATTTTTACCAACACGTTATCCAAAGCTACTAGATGACATGGTGATGATGCCACTTGAGCCCTGTCTGTGCTATGGATTCCGCTGTTTCTACCATCAGTGTATCTTAACCCAGTAGAGCACAGTCCCCTCCAGAGTCTGGAATGGAACCGTCTCTTGCTCAGAGTCTGGAATGGAGTCTCTTGCTCTTTTAACAACGTAGCAAGTTACACACATAGAACTACATTAAAAGAACATTATTAGGGAGTGCCAGTTCTGCAGTAATTATGGTTGAGCAGCATTGTCTGTTCAAAGGTCCACTCTTCTAAGTACTGTAAAATTCACATGCTTACATGGATTGTCTTGAAAATTTCTGTGCCTTATGGGGACGAGGCTGGAGTTCATGATCTAAATTTGGATAATGTAAGCAAGAGATTCCAAGATATGAGATCCTGTGGGGGGGGAAAGGGTATGTGAGCAGCATCAAGCATGTAATTAAAGTCTGTATCATAATGGGGCTGAGTTAGTATAAGGGGACTGAAGTAAGTTTGTACAGCCAACTTTAATTCTGGCATTTCCTAATCTTAAGAGCTTGACCTTACAGTCTTACTGTTCTTTTAATGTAGTTTTTTGTGTGTTATACAATATACAAGATAAATGAATGAGTGATCTTATTAAGGAATATATAGCTTCTTTCAGTGTAAGTGTATGTGTATGGCATAATAGTTGTGTGTTTTGCCTGTTTTCATTGTTGAGAATTAGTCAAAATACTTTATTTGGCTCAAGTCTAGTTCATACTTGCAGACTCATTTTTTGACATCAGAGGAAAACTCTTCCAATCTGGCCCACACTAGATCAGTCAAAAAAAACAACAACAAAAACCCACCATTTTCAGAAAAAAATTGCTTTTCTGAACGTAATATGTTTGAACGTTTTCTGGAACATACTTTTTTGACTACAGTTGATTCTTGGCCTCTGTGTTACTGAGCCATATACATATTGTGATAATGAAAGGATTTATATAGGATAAACCACATTTCATTGCTACCTGTTTCAAGAGGTGGTGCAATAGCTTATTCAATCTTTGATAAGGTCTTGTAAAAGTAATGCTAAGGCTATAGCTTGCCCAACAAGCAATCAGTCCTTGAGAATGATTTACTTTGTTCATTTTCTTCAAACTATTTTCAGAAAAAGTTCATAGATATTTGTATATTAAATCTATTTATGTGGGATCTGGAATACATGCTGTAATTGTCCAAAATTTTATTTGGAAGAACAGGAACTGTTTCTGTTACAGATGTGACAAATGTATGGACATGTGAATTTTAAGTTTTCTTTTTCCTTGTTCGTAGGCCAAGACTCATGTCCTTGACATAGAACAGCGGCTACAGGGTGTGATTAAGACTAGGAACCGGGTAAAAGGATTGCCCTTGTCTATTGAAGGGCATGTTCATTACCTTATTCAAGAAGCAAACAATGAGAACCTGCTCTGCCAGATGTACATGGGCTGGGCTCCATATATGTGAAATACTGCCTTCACAACTTATGCTGCTATAATTTTTTTTTTTAAACAAAACGTTGTTGAATTCTTTTAGTCACTGTAATATTTTCTACAATTACTACTTTTGTTGATTTCTGATTTTGTGCATATCTATATTGCAACTTAATATGCAGTCTATGTAATATATACTATATAGTTGTAGTACATATGCTGTGTATGTTGTATACGAATATAAATGCACTCAGTGCATTGTATGAGTTTGAAGATACATACATTTATACATAGATATTTGTATTTATGGAGACTCTGTTTTATGTATACAGAATACAATAAATGAACTACTAAACAGAATATACAGTCATCTCAATGATGCAGGTGTGTGGTTTCCTATATACTTGCATTCATCTGCAATATTTATGAATGTGTATGTATACTCCCACATCTAAGCAGGGTCAAATTAGCTTTATAAAATGTTTTATATATATTTTTTAAGGGAGGGAGATAAACTTATTCTATTTCTAATTAATTTCTTTTGTAGGAGACAAGAGTTGATATTAAAAAAGAGAATGTATATAAAATGGAATTTTATATCAACATGGTTGAAATGGGATTTTTAGCTGTAACTGTATTCATGTACCTATTTCAGAGGGGTTTTCCAAAACTAGAAACCTTTTTGCAAGATATTCATTCTCACCTAGGTTTCTGTGAAGTTTTGCTATTGCTCATGGGAAGCCCTCAGGCATTTCAAACTATTGTATCAACTAGTAGTACCTGTCTGACCTATTTTCATTCCTCTAAACCACCCACTAGAGCATAATATGGCGTGTGTCACCAAGAGGCAGGTTTATAACACACAAACTCCTCCAATTGAAGACAATAGCATTTCCTGATTTAGCCTTCTGAAGTGACTGAGATCATTCATGCCCTTAATTTCCTTCTTTTACTTGTACTTTCTTGTTTTACACCCCTCCCCTATGCTAGAAAACATCATTTTGTGCACTCAACCCCACCTTACTTTGAGAAAGTCCTCAGCCCCCACAGAAACACTTTTTATAGCCTTCCATTAAGAACCCAAATAGAATGAAATGTGTTATACTATGACCATTATTGCCTCTGAGCACCATTTGAAAATAACACTCCATCTCTACTGTTCCCATTTCCCACCCCCACTAAAAAAACCCCACCTAGAATTACAAGGTGCATACATAATCTGAATTAAAGTAATCAAATGGCCTGTATTCTAATTCCCTGCTCTTTGCATATGTATTATCTAACTTAAATTAAGCTCTTTGGGGCAGAGATCTAGAATTTGTCTATGAAGTGTCATGAACATATATGGTGCAGTAGGAGTAATACATTATAATGGAGAGAATCATTCCTTGGGATCTGTGCACAGAATAGCCCCTCCACGCACGCCTGGATCTCCATCCTTCTGAAAGTAAAGAGATTGAGGGGCCTTTGTGTTACTGTCCCTTCACCATAGAGATCTTTTTGTTGGTGGGGAGGGGCAAACTCATGTCCACCACCATAATGTGGGGAATCTGCCAAAATGTTAATGTATACTGAAGCTGCACTAATGTCCTTGCCCCAGCCTGCCATACTGTGAAACCCAATTAAGGGAAAACGTAGAGAAGTGGTTAGAGGAATCTTTAGCACAGTAACTCCATTGCTGCAGAAAGAGCAGCCCCTCAGAGTCATTGCACAGGCACAGGACCCCCTGCTTTTAGCATCTGGACAGAACCCCTTGTTTCCTCCACTGTTGGCAAATCTATTTCGCATTGCTTTCTTGTAGGTTTTCCCATGTGAAGCAATTTTCCGGCCCCTGTTATTTCCCACTCAAGTCAGAGACAGTTTTTCTAGAAACAAAAGTAAGTAATGTGTTTTTGAATATATTCAATTTTCACTGATGGGAGAAACAAATGTCCAGAGTGCTTCCTAAATCAGTAACAAAAGGAAGTATTAACTGTGCGACACTGGGCTAGAAAATATTGTGGCAAATCTAGTATATAATTTTTGAAAGTTTCTTCTGTTAAGAGGCAGGTATACATGTGTAATAGTCCTTTATGTAGCAGCTATTGTTCTGCAGCCAGATGCAAACAGTCATTCCTAGTTAATCTGAATTTCAAATAGGTTGCAATGCCCCTCTGAATTTAAATACTATGCAGAACTGTAAATATCTTTTCGCCATTGTTCTCCTGGGAACCTGGACGGTCATCTAAAATAAGAGAACATTAAAGATGATGCTGAAATGAATTAATGCTGTCCTGTGAATACATTAACTTGCCCAAACCTGCTTCCAGGTATATTTGTTTTTAAAATGCCATCACTTGGATCCTATGCTGGGTAATTTTTGTACTACAATAAGGTGGTGATGTATGATACATCAGATTGAAATGTAAATAACACTGTCGAGCTAAAGCTAGCTTGGAGGTTCTTATACTGTTTTACATATTCTGATTAAGATCTATACGTTTGAACTAGAACTATAGTTAACTATGCAGTTTCTACCCAGTCCCTTATGAGCCGTTTTTTCTAAATACCTATATCCTCTTCAGTATTGCCTTATTTATTTGTTCCTTCTGTTTCTCTACTTTCTCTTTTTTAATTTTTAAAGGAATTTGTGTGTTTTTCAGATGTTTCCTTCTCCATTCTCTGCTTCTTATGCAGTCATCCCCAAAACCTTGTGTACAGATGCTGGTTTCTTCTCTCAATTCAATATCTCATCTCTCCCTGGTACCCTTCATCCGTGGTATTTCCTCCTTTCCCTTCTAATTCCTCTTCTGTCCTCCTTAAGGTAGCCAACGGAGAACCCTTCTGGGTAGGTTGGTGAAAGGGTAGCCTCTTCCTGGGAACAGAAACCATAAGGCCAAGTGACCAAAAGCTACAGGGGAACCCACTGTGCTGTAGTCACAGCACAGAGTGATGCTGCAAAGCTGTATTTTCTGCTGGGCATGAGCCTAGCTGATGCCTCCATGATATCAATGTAAAAGGTGCTGTGCAGCACTCTGCACAACTGTGCAGGAGGGAAAAGGAACTTCTGCACACAACTGATGACCAGTGCCTATGATAGGAAGAAGCTGGAAACAATCCCACTGTGACAGGTTAGACCTCCCATCTGGGATGCCACCCGATGTGCTAGGGTACCACTCGTTCTGCCAGTTCCACCAACCTGGGTTTCTCCTGTCTTAGCTGGGCCAGGCCCTCAAGCTTTCTCCAGCATACACACAGGTAGGTAAACACCCAGCTGCAAGTGAACACAGAGACACTGAGATTAGCTCTGTGTGGGAGGAATCAGCTTGGACATTCACATGCACACCTCCTTTGGGGTATAAACCCAAAATAATAATGTCTTGCACTGTAGAGAACTCTATACAATGTAAGCTCATAAATTCACCCCCTCCCTCAATGTGGAGGAAGATATGCACAACTTCTTGCCCCAGTTTTAAATTATAAATTGCACAAATTGGGTTTTATAATAAAAACAAGTTTATTAACTACAAAGACAGATTTTAAGTGATTATAAGGGATAGCAAACAGAACAAAGCAGATTACTAAGCAAATAAAACACAAATACGAAGCTTAAAATCTTAGAGACTGGTTTCAAGAAAGTAATTTCTCACCCTAAATGTTGCTTTTGGGCAGAATGCAGGTTAGCTACCCTGCTTGCAGCTTAAATCTTCAGACACCATATTCAGAGACCAGATCCCTTTTCCAGACAGGGCTCATCTTCCCCCCGGTGTCTTTCGTCCTTTCTTAGATCTTTCCAGCTGTCATCCTGTGTGGGGATTCAGTGAAGAGTGAACCAAGATCAATTTACTCCCCAGCCTTACTTAGACTTTACATAAGGCCAGAATCTTTTGTTTCCCAGTCTTGACCTCCCCCTCCTTTTAGTGGAAAATCACTAGAAGTCCAAGATGGTGTTTAGTACCAGGTGACATGACAACATGACCAAAGCAAGGTCCCAGGACACTTCTCAGGGCCAGCACATCCCTTGGCCTGCACCGCTTCCCGCAGCCCCCATTGGCCTGGAGCGGCGAACCGCAGCCAGTGGGAGCCGCGATCGGCCTAACCTACGGACGCGGCAGGTAAACAAACCGGCCCGGCCCACCAGGGGGCTGACCCTGGTGAGCCGTGTGCCAAAGGTTGCAGATCCCTGGTGTAAGTAACTCAGTGATCCAGGAAACCTAATGGGAGTCTTCCAGTCCTTGGTTCATATCTAGCTCAGCTCCTTATTTAGATCTGCCTTGCAACATTCTGCTCCCCAGGCCTGATCTGCACCTGGAAAAGTTTTGAAAAGCTTCTTGATTGCTAATGCTGTTTTCAGCATCCTGTTTATTAGCTCTTTTCCCAGCAGGGTTAGATAGCATGGTGCTGAGCACAGCAGCTGTAGCCATTGAGTTACCTGCAGCTGAGCTCTTAGCATTGCTTAGGCCTTTGTTAAGCAGGGGAACAGTTTCAGGTGTTTCCCTAGCATAGGCAAGCTCCACTCAACCAGGGTGAGTGGGGTTTGGTTTTGTACAAGCATTATAGGGGAAGGTGGATGAATGGCACATGGGTTTGTACATTTTCATACCAGTTTTGCAAGGCTCACATAGATCATTGTCCCTATGGCAGCACTTGGCTGATGTCTTGCTATGGGCCGCTAAAGAGCCTTGCCCGCTTATGGACCCAAACTTGTCAGGGCTGCCCAGAGGATTTAGGGGGCCTGGGGCAAAGCAGGGGAGCTGTGACACTTGTACTCACCCAGCAGCGGTCCGGGTCTTTGGCAGCATTTCGGCGGCGGGGGGCCCTTCAGTCGCTCCACGTCTTCCGCAGCACTGAAGGACCCGCCACCAAAGACCCGGAGCAACTGAAGGGTCCCCCGCCGCCGAAATACTGCTGAAGACCCGGATGGCCGATGGGCCAGGGCTCGCGGAGCCCCTATGGGGCCTGGGGCAAATTGCTCCACTTGCCCGCACCTCTGGGCGGCCCTGAAACTTGTACCCACGGTGGGGCTCCTGCTGGTGGATATGCTTGTGCCCAGCTGCTGGTGGACAGATGTCCGTACCTCACACGTCCATACCTCACCTTTGCGACTCACTAACCGCAGCGCCGGTGTAGTGGTACAGGAAATTCTGCCAGGGAGCAGTTTGAGTTTGGGCTGCTACACCGGCGGTCGAGGCAGAGAGGGCAGGGTCTCTCACTGACGCGGTGGCCCCTTGCCGCCCCGAACGGGCTAACCCCGGCAGGTCTGCGCTATCCCAGCGCGGAGGCCGCACCGGCACATTCAGGATGGGGTCACTCACGAGAGTCGGGGGCGCCCGGCCGGCAGGCTGCGCTGGCTCGTCTCCCTGCGGGTGGGGGGAGGGAGCGAGCTCCTGCACCTGCCCGCAGGGGAGAGAAGGTTGTGAGGAAAGACGCTCTGTCTCTGCCTCAGTCTCTATGGGTGGAGCAGAGCCGCTCTGCGCCGCTCTCTGTGGTGGCTGGGCGGCCTGGCTGTCAGTAGGACGCGCCGGAAGGAAGCCGGCTGCGGGGGAAGGGCTGTTTGGGTCCGGTCGGGCTGGGATAGGCGGCGGCCATGGGGGTCCCCAAGTTCTACCGGTGGGTCTCGGAGCGGTATCCCTGCCTCAGCCAGGTGCTGAAGGAGCATCAGGTGAGCGGCGCTGGGCTGGGGGTAGCGGGCTGGGGGGTGCGCACCCGCCTTGTCCCAGCCGCTCTCCGGGTACGGGAGGGTGTCCCAGTGCTTCGCCGCAGCCAGCTCACAGCAGAGGGCGGCCGGGAGCCAGCGCGGGCCCGGCACCGCTAACGGCTCCGGGCTCGTGCCCGGCTCTCTGGCACTGCGCTGACCTGCCTCGTCCCTGTGAGGAGCCAGGTCGCTCCCGAGGGTTCCCCGCAGGCCACGGTGCCAGGGAGCGAGCTCTGAAGCGGGCCCCGCTGACACGCCTCCGCAAACACAGCTGCTGGGAGGCTGGGGCAGGTGCCAGCCCTGCCGTTATGGGGAGAGCAGTGCCTGCTAGTCGCCTTCCCGCTTATGTTCGTTGATTTATTTTCCTTTCCCGGAACACGTCTAGGACTAGTTCAGCAGCTTCTTTGTTTGGCCTTTTATTACACGGCATAATAAACTTGCTAGCAACCCGCACTAGCTTCACCAGCAACCCCTCTAGGTACGTTTGGAAGGCGCCTTTCAAAAGATAGACTGCAGCTGTTTTGCTTGACAGCATTGCTTGGATGTAGAAGACAACATCATGGTGGGGTTTTTTAAAGTGCTTAGCCTTTGTCCAACTCTGCTTCTATCTAAGTAATTGAGGGTGGTCTAAAAGTAAATAAAGTAGACATCTAAATATTATATGATTAGGAAACGTGGACATATAGTGCTGTAGTCAGCATGTTGATGTTTATTAGAATAGCTACATATTATTTTAAAGTAAATTAAAGAGAGGTTGAAAATCATATAGTTATGATGGTGGAGGGCTTGTCTATGCATTTAAATTAGTTCAGAATAAGGTAGGAATTTAAAGCAGATTAACTATTCCTGATTAGCTCCATGTCTGGATGCCTTTATTCCAGAATAAGAGTGATTTATTCCAAATCATGTTAAACTAATTCAGAATAAGGCATTCTTATTCTGGAAAAGGAGTATCCACACATGGAGCTAATCAGGAATAGCTATTCCGGAATAATTCCCCAAGTAGACAAACCCTAAGTAGTTAGAAAGAGGAAAGAATGGAAAACAGAAAAGACTTTCAAAGATGAAAGGACAATTAAACTACTAACCTCTTGTCCTAGATCAGTGGTTCTCAACATTTTTATCATTTAGGGCTGCATATGCAGCTCTCTGTGTTATATAGGCCACATCCACACAATATATATACTACCTGTATGGCCCTGAGAATGTCACATGGGCTGAAGTTGTGTGCTGGTTGGGCCACAGGTTGAGATTCACTGCCCTAGATAAAGGGGCAGTAATATCCTAGTCTTCGAAATTACCAGAGTCTATGCTGGATGCTCAGAGGGGGTTGAAAGCATAAAACAATGTTTGTTAACGATGCTTCATCATACTCCCAGTCAACTGTTTGTTCATTTTGACTTTATCTGCTCAGAGTTGCACCAACTTAACATAAGGTGTGATTTTAAACTGTTTAGTTAAACCAGTGCGGAAGGCTTTGTAGACACTTTTATTTTGGTTTTTATGAGGCTGTCTACAATTAAAAAAACTTTTCTCGTTTAGCTATACTGGCAAAACCCTTCTAGTGTAGATACAACTATACTACCAAAGAGTACTTCTGCTGGTATAGTTTATTCCAGTTCAGTGAGCAAAATAGGCTATATTGGCTAAAGCACCCTATGTTTATCAGTATAACTGTCTACGCTAGGCCTTTTGATAGCGTGCCCACAAAACTTTTAGGTGTAGACCTGGCTTTATTTTAGTTTCGCTTAAGTCATCGATTAATAACAGTTTTCAATTAAACTGAACCTGGCTTCCACATGGAGCAAATGTATGTACACTCAAGGCCCTTGATTTCTGTTGCATCATAATTGTTGACACTTAAGCCTCTCCTCATTTAAATGTGGTTCTGACTAAACCAATTTCTAACATAGTTTAGCCAGAAAGTGTAGACAGAACCAAACAAAGTTTAAAATTCAACGTGGTTGTTAAAGTAGTTCCTTAACATAGCCTAGTGTAAGTGAATCCTTTACTTAAAAATGGTTTAAAATGCCTTTTAAAATAAAGTTGCATTCCCAACTGTGGGACAAGCCTCTTAGAAAACTGATTTTTAAAACTACATGAACTTTAGAGCACACTAAAATATTGCACTTAAACAAGAAATTTTGGTCTCACGACAAAAATTCCAAAATAAGCTCCCTGCTGAATGCAGGCAGAGAGCAAGGAACATGTACAACACACATTCTCAGAAAGCTGCCATGGATAGGGCTCACATTCAGCTGTGCATGGGTTTAATGGTCACAGCATGTCCACTTGAGTCATCCAGTTACTGTGACAACAGATTGCCAAAAAATTCTCTGGCTGTTGACTCTGACAGAGTCTTGCTACATATGCGCATTTCAGTCTCTTTGGTTCAGCAATTGAGCACAAGCCGACCTGTAGATACAGACTCTAAGATTAATAACTTTTTCAGTATTGCTTCCCCAAAGGAACATTGAATGCTATGCATTAGCTAAGAAGTATGCCAAGTAACTGAGATCAGTTGAGTGATTAGTAAAGACTTCAGCTATGTCTACACGGCCATGCAGTTTAGACTATGGAGGTCTGAATAGGAATGTGCACCAAAGTACTGCGCTGTAACTCCTCTGTTTAGATGTTGCGGGCACGAACTAAGAGGTTCCTGGTTCACATTAATGTAGTCCTGTTTGAAGAGGACTACATTAACGTGAACTAGGAAACTTTTAGGAACCACAGGTACAGCAAATTTCAAGACAATCCAAGTAAGCATGTGGTGGATTTTAGAGCACTTAGAGTAGTCTGCTTTTAAGCAGAAAACCATATAGTTATGCCTTCTTTGGGGCTGTACTATGTAAGTTGTTTCTTTGAAACAGTAGGATAAAAAGTGTATCGTTAGAATGGTCTTTTAATATAACCAGCTAGCAGCTGTTGAAAATATACAGTGCCTTGTCTGTACTAGACTTAAAGAACTTGTTACTGTGTTAGCTAACACGTGCTAACATCATACCTTCAAATCCTGGTCGAGACAACACCTAAAAAGTACTGTTAAAATGTGTTAGTTGACATGTTCTGTGTGAAAGAGAGGCTCTGTCTGAAGTAGATTAAAAAAATGTTTTTATAAGCCAATGCTTGAACTCTGAAATGTTAGCACAGTGCCCCGTGTATCTACACAGTCATTCTGGTTATTTATAACTAATTTTTGTACCACTTTTTTTTCCAGTGTCGGGGATGTTGCTTTTAACTATAGTCTTGCTGAACAAAAAGAAGCAGTCTTCACTCAGCGCTCTTAATTACTAGGTTTATTCATATTCATATCAGTGTGTAGAATTTATCATCTGATATCCTTTATGAAGGCCCTAGTGTCCTCCTAGAATAGAAACTCAGCAGCAGCCACTGCTAGCAGAACCAGATGGAATAGGGAAAGGGACTAGCATGAACCTACTTGCTCACCCACCCCTTCCTTTGTGGAGCCAGCCTGCAAAGCACCATCACAGCATAAAGTTGGTTGTGGGAATACAGTCCTTTACAGCCTGGGGAGACTTGTTGATGTCAGCAATTCGAGACTCCGTGGGCTTTTTTGTAGGGTTAGGAGATTGATTCTTTGTGGGGTCAACTTTCATAGGCTGATTGACTCTATATAACTTTACCACCAATCTTAAGGCTCTTTACATGGAAAAAAGTAGGAATAAAGGAAAACTCTGAGTATTTTATCCATCATTCAACCAAGAGATATTTCCATGCGTTCAAGGAAAGAAAATTAACTTTTAGTACCCCCAGAATTCCTTATATATCCAGAGAGACTATGTTTTGATCTTTTTGAATCTGGCAGAAAGACTGATTTATGAAATGTTCACCCTCGGTCTATTTTCTGGAACCGGAAGGGGAGGTGCCTTCTACAGATTGACAGTTTCTGGTGGTCAGTTGGCTGAGTGCAAAGTCAAGAACTGGAGCAAGATGGAGCATTAATTTTTGATGACCAGAACATTTAGGGCTTTAGTAATCAATAATTTGGTGCTCTCTGTATTGAATTTGCTGAGGCATTATGCATTACCAAGTGTGGACAGGTTGACTGAGTAAAGCCTCCGAAGTCTAATTGACTCATAAAATTTATTTTATCCTCTTTTACCATCAGAGCAATAAAATTTTTAGTGTTAGTTATTTGATTTTGGTTTTATTACTGCTACTTCCTTTTGAACTCTCAAACTAAAAACATTCTGTAGGAGGCAGAATGATGTCATGTTAACTATATCATAGTTTTCCATAGTTGTTGGAAGAAGGGCATATTCTGCATATCTTTTAAATAATTGGCAAGTACTGTGTGATTTTTTTTCCCCATTCAGTTAATCACTACAAGGAGAAACTGTTCTGTTTATTTCTTGGAACTATTCACATTTTTGTCTTTACACATTGTACAAATACATGTTTGCCTAATTTAATATTGTAAAGTGTTCTTCCCACTATTTATCTTCATTGCAAAAAGATGCAGGATAATTTGTATTCTAACATTTAATTACAAAGACTATTATGAAACTGAATTCAGACTGGACATGTTTCACTATTTTATATTTGCTACAGTCCAGCAACATGCTAGTCTACTTGCTATCCAGTGTGTACAGTATTTTAATAGAGAATGAGCAGGTATTGCATGCAGATAGAAACCATTAAACATGAAGGCCTGATTCTCTTCTCTTGCTGGTGTCAGTCGGGA